TCCATAGATCAAAACAGTGATAGACTAACAGCTAATATATTAAATGTTAAATTTAGCCTTTTTCCTTACAAGGAGAGAATGCACGTATATTCCTTCAATATCAAGTGCACCTAAATTTCATTTTTTGTTTGAATTATGGGATATGATATTCAGGGTTAGTATAACACATGCAATCTTCCCAATTGAGAATTTGCCTAATATATGTAATAATTAGTAATTAAATTAAAAATTTTACTCATATAAATTATGTATATTAATTTTTAAATTAATTAATATTTATAGTTTTTTTATCAAAAAAATTATATTTATTAACATATATTTAATAGTATTAAATGTTGTATAATCAACAAATTAGTTACTTTAGGTCTCAATTTGAAAATTAACATGTGATCTATATTAAAAATACTTTCAACTTAATAGTTGATTTTAAAAGAATATTAATTAAAATAAGACATCTTTGGAATATCTTCTATGAAAAATATTGTCCAAAGACTTTTCACATAATATTTTATAATTAGTTCTTATTATTTAAAATTTACACATAAATTATACATAATTCACCCTTATAATGTGATTAAAAAATTAAAAATATAATATGTGTAAAAAATAAATTTTATTTTTAATTTTAAATTACATAAGACGATTATCTCACAATCCTTTTATCCACTTTATTGACATACTTTTAATTCAAATTTATAAGCTCAAGTTTTATAATGAAAAAATATAAACTTATTTAATAATATTAAAATTATTCACGTTATTGTGACATTAATAATCATGATAATATATTACAAAAATAGATAAAAATAAATAAAAATTTTAAAAATAAAAAACCACAATTATGGTAGACATGGCCTAGAAAAAAATAAATACTAAATAAAGTCTCTTACCTCCATTGTAAATATTAAATATTATCTTAACATTTCATTTAAATCACAAATGATCCTCAACCTTCCCAAAATCACTAAATATAATCCAACTGTCAATCACATTCGTTAAGTCATTAACAGAAATCCTACTTAAAATTTTAGGGACCCACCAACACCGATAAAACCAAAAAAGAATTGTCAAACCATTTTTTCTTTTTCAATGTCACATAAATTTTCTTCTCTCCTTCTTCTTCTACTTAAAATTTTAGGGACTCACCAACACCGATAAAACCAAAAAAGAATTGTCAAACCATTTTTTCTTTTTCAATGTCACATAAATTTTCTTCTTCTTCTTCTTCTACTTAAAATTGTAGCGACCCACCAACACCGATAAAACCAAAAAAGAAGTGTCAAACCATTTTTTCTATTTCAATGTTACATAAATTTTCTTCTTCTTTTTCTTCTTCTTCATCTTCTTCTTCAATTTGACATGAGATAGAATCAAACTCATCCAAGAAAAGGGATGCACTTATTTAATATTGTTAATACCATTAGATCTGAAAAGTTATGTGCAAATTTTATATTTCTTTTAACATCGCAGGAATATAATTTTTAAAGAATGTACCTTCCCATATTCTTCTTCTTCAATTTGACATGAGGTAGAGTCAAACTCATCCAAGAAAAGAGGTGCATTTATTTAATATTGTTAATACCATTAGA